GTTATTTATTTTATCAATTTGTCATTGTGCATTTTCCCCAGGGAGGGCAGGTCCAACCGGCTCAGAAACTCTTCAACCTTATATTCATCCAATGGTGTGGACTGAGTGTACAGGGCCTGATAAAATTCAATTCACATGTAATCTTTTTAGATACCCAGGTCGTTCAGGCCGGTACTCTCGCTCAGTTCAGTTTTTATAAGATTCTCCACAAAAATAACCATTGAGGTCCCTTACGCTCCTTCCTTAGCCGCGTTCACACCAAGTACTTTGCCGTACTTAGTGCCCCGGCACTTAGTACCCCCATGGAACTAAGAGCCGATCGCGTTCACACCGGAATAAGTTCCCTGAGGGAAGATTACGCAAATGAGCCGCTGACGTCACTTCTTCTTCTTCTGCTTTGGGTTTACTTGCAGGCCGCAAACAACTTCACGGCGTATACTGCCATCCGAAGTCCCCGACCGGAAGTCGGGAGTTGGGGACTGGCTTCAGTAGAAGCTGCTGGGACTCCCAGCAGCTTCTACTGAAGCCTTCCGAGTAAATCGCCAGAACGCAGACACCTCCTCATCACTCCACCGCTCCCATGTTTTTTTTTGTGTTGCCATAAGTTAGTCTCTCTGCGTTTGTGCGCTGGGCGAATGCTAATGCTAATAATGCTAATGCGACGATAATAAAATGGCGTCTCTACAAAACATTTCAGAGTTTTACGGGGCGTGGTTTGCAATTCGCCCAGCCAATCAGAACTGGGGCACTTTTTTCCCCCAGGAGAGTACCACCTCTCAGCAGGCACTAAAAATGGGGGTAAAAGTTCCCGGCACTAAGTACTCTTTTTGGTGTGAACGCGACATAAGGGGTACTAACGGAAACTAAACGGAAAAAGTACGGGGAAAAGTACGGGGAAAAGTACTCCGGTGTGAACGCGCCTCTTGATCCTCACGATCGCGCCACCGGAAGTCCTATCACCCAGTATTAACAGTTTTCTTTGTCATTACTTGACGTTTCTAAACCTGTCATGCCTTTATTGTACACAACAGTATTCAGAAAGTCCAGCTTCAAGACATGGGGGCATATCGATGTGCTGTTCTGTCAGAAAGCCACCAGACCATGTCCGAGGAGGGGAGCATCCAGCTGGAGGGTGAGTTCATCTCCAGCTCTCTGATGTACCTGCCCATTGAGAGCTACAAAAAAATAACAAGTGCTACAATTGTATTAATAAAAAGACCCTCTTTAAGCTAATGGGGGCGGCAGTAGCTCAGTCAGTAGTGTCTTGAGTTTGGAACTTAATGGTCACCAATTGGTTTTTGGTTGTTCACTGGTTCAATCCCTTAAACGGACTAAACAATTGTGGACTGCCAAAATTAGACGTGCCATTTGATACCTGAGTCCTGTTAAACTGTCCTTGAGCAAGACACCAAACCACCTTCTGCTCCAGGGTGCAGAAAAATGGCTTCTTTGACACCTCCATTATTGCATGCAGTTGTGTGTACGTTTGGCCTAGTGTGTAAAAGTCCCGTCTGCATGTGTGTATTTCAACTGTAAATGTATAAGAACAGAGTTAAACTCAATTTCCCCTTGTTGGATTAATAAAGTATTTCCTCTTCTCTCTTAGGTCTTCCTCACTTCTCGGTGGAGCCCCAGCACACGTCCATGGTGGCCAACGTGTCCCTGAGCCTGAGCTGCATGGCCCACGGCCCCCCAGACCCCGTCAGGGTCATCTGGCTGCAGGACGGCGCTCCTCTCAACTCCCTGAAGGACCCGGTGGCCCTGTCCCCCTCCACCCTCAACATCACAGGTACCATCTTTCACTCTCTGTCACCACATGAACACAGCTTAATCACAGCCATTATAATGTGTAGCCTCAATCCCAATAGGGGCCATCTCACTTTGCCACACTGGGCAGTGATCAGTGGAACAGTCTCAATGGAACTCGTTTAGTTGACGTGTTCCATAAACTAAATTGAAAATAAAATAAAAGTATAATACCAACAGTCCAAAACACAAGGATGGTAGTTTTGATAAGTAGATACATAAAATAAAAGTGTAACATTTAATTTTCGTTCTTAACGACTGACCATTTCTACACAAATCAATTAATCGGTGGTCATTAAAGTACTATAGAGGTAAAGTTTCTTGTCGCTGTCAGTAGCCTGTGGCCTCGATTAGTATTTCTAAAAAAAAAACATTTGTTTTAATTTTATGTATCTACACTGAACTGGTTAAAAAGACACAGTAACTATCTTATATCGTTTTTTTGAATCCCTTCTCCGTGGCTTGAACAAAACCACAAAAACCCTCCCCGGAGAGAGTGGGCTGGCTGGCATGGTGCCAGTGGATCAATTGAAGACGTGCCTTGTGGTTTTGTGGTTGATGGGTAAAAGTAGCAGGCACGAGACGCCTATTGGCCGGGGGAGGAGATTAATAGATGGGCCGAGAACATGAAAAAAAGAAAGAGAGAAAGGAAGAGGGCTCTGTTGCTGCTTGAATGCCAACCACAGAGGCCTGCCAGAGTGCTGGCCTCTGTTAAGGGGGGGG